AGCTAGTCTGTCGTGACCAAGTATTTTTTGTACCGAAGCCAATGATATGTTTTTTTGTAATGCTAATGTCGCAAAGGTATGTCTTAAAATATGGGGAGTTACCGTTTTTGATATTTGGGCCCTATTAGCAATTTCTTTGACTATCTTTTGAACTTGCCTGGGACCGATTGGAAATTTATCAGTTATTGCAAAATAATGCTCCAAGAGAGATTGCACTCTATTAGACATCGGGACAACTCTTTTCTTTGTCTTTTTTCCATACAGCCCACCTTTACCACTTATACGAATAGATTTTTGCTGCCAAAGAATATTTTGCGGAGTAAGGCTACAAAGTTCAGATACCCTAAGCCCAGTATCTAGTAAAATCCAAATAATAAGTTTTTCCTGTATATTGTTACAAGCTTGATAAAGTTTATCTGCTTCTTCTGGTGTAAGTGGTTCTCTTTTAAACTGATATGCCATTGGTTAATATTTTCTGAATTCTATTACTTGTTTTTCAGTTAGTTCGTTTTATACTAAAAAATACGAATTCTATTCGTATAACATAAGTTATGTTATATTGATAATAATTTCTTGTTTCAATAAGAATTTATTGGTATAGGCGCAGATCTAGAAACTTTATAATGGCTTGTTATAATTTTAACTATTCGTGAAACTACGCGGAAGACGAATTATGACAAAAATATTAAATTTAACTGATCTGACAGAAGAAGGCAGAAATAATGCCTATGAAAAATACAAGATCATTGAACCATATATTAATTGTACCACATCGTTGATGTCAATTTCCAAAAAAACTCAAGTACCATTAAGAACATTAACATCTTGGGTACAAAAATATAAATCTTCTGGTTTAATTGCACTTTCAAGGCAAAATAGAAAAGATAAAGGAAAAGCAAGAAGAATAAAACCCGAATTAACTCAAATAATTGAAGCATTATATCTAGAATATCCTGATTCATCTTGTGCTAATATTCATAGGCTTCTTTTGAAATACTGTAAAGAACACAATTTAGTTATACCGAGTTATAGGAGTGTTTGTAGTATAATTCGTCAGATTCCAGATGATATTATTACACTGGGACATAAAGGTTCTAAAGTATATAAACAAAAATATGATTTGCTACATACAAGAAATGCTAAAAAACCAAATCAGATATGGCAAGCAGATCATGTTTTATTGGATATTGATATATTGAATGATAAAAACAAGTCCTGTAGACCATGGCTAACAGTCATCATTGATGATTGTAGTAGAGCAATTTGTGGTTATGAATTATCATTTTTATCACCTTCTTCTAATAAAACTTCCTTATGCCTAAGACATGCAATATGGCGAAAATCAGACTCAAAATGGCCAATTTTAGGAGTGCCAGAGATTTTATATACTGATCATGGCAGTGATTTTACTTCTAAACATATTGAACAGGTTTGTATAGATTTAAAAATTCAACTTATTTATTTGCAAGTTGGACAACCACGGGGCAGAGGAAAAATAGAAAGATTTTTTCGTACCTTAAATCAAAAATTAATTTCTGATTTATCAATCGTTATTCAAAATAGTAAGCCAACAAAATTTTTTACTATCCAACAACTCAACCAAATTGTATATAAATTCATCATTGACTATAATCATGCTCCTCACTCAGCATTAAAAATGTCACCTGTTAATGATGGCTTGAGAATGGTTTTTTACCTAATATATTGGATTCATTAGAAAACCTTGATTTACTATTACTAACGGAGGCTAAACCTAGAAAAGTTATGCGTGACGGCATACATTTTCAGGGATTGTGTTATTTTGATTTGACACTAGCTGAATATATAGGTCAAGAAGTTACCATAAGATATGTACCTTCAGACATTGCATCAATTAGAGTTTTTTTAGAGGCAAATTTTTGTGTCAGCCAATATGTGCTGAACTATCTAACTATACCATTAGTATCAGAGAAATCCAACAAGTTAGAAACAAAAGAAGGAATTTACTAAAGAAGAAAATTAAAACACAAAAATCATTAATTGATGCAGTTATAGCAGCTAGTTATAAAGATTTACCAATGGATAATCATGAGGACGAAATAATAGAAGCAAATGAACTGAAACCAGATAAAGTTAGGTTATATAATAATGAATAGATTTATTTCCACAAAACAATATAAGCAATTTGCTGAATTTTGTAGAGCATGTGAACGAGATCATTATATAGGTCTTTGTTACGGAAATGCAGGGGCTGGTAAAACTGAATCAGCTAGGAACTACTCAAAATGGTACCAGTTCATAAAACATTTTGAGTCTAGAAATTTATTAGATAAACCTTTAGCTAGCTTTCCTATCTCAAGGCTCAATTCTGTTTTATATACACCAAGTCAATTAAGTACCCCTAAAGAAATGTTTAGACAGATAGAGGAGATTAAACGGGAATTTGGACTCATAAAAGAAAAGATACTTTATGGTACAGATATACCGTGGGAAGTAAGAAATAAACTATCTGCAAAAATGATTATTATTGATGAAGCAGAAAGACTAAAACCACAGGTGTTAGAGATGATAAGGGAGATGTATGATAATGGTGACACTAATTTTATTTTTATTGGAATGCCTGGTATTGAAAAAACTTTCTCATGGCATCCTCAATTATACTCACGCATTGGTTTTGTACATCAATTTAAGAATATGGGAAATAACGAATTAAAATTTATTTTGGAAAGACATTTAAGAAAATTAAACTATGAAATAAAAGATGATGATTATGCGGATAAAGAAGTTATAGCTGCAATTTTGAGGATAACAGATGGAAATTTTAGACTAGTTGATCGAATCATAAAGCAGTCAATAAGAATCATGAAAGTTAACTATATGACAACGTTAACAAAAGAAATAGTAGAGGCAGCTAGATCTTGTTTATTAATTGGCACAAAATAGGCAAAATAATTCTGCTCAAATAACGCAACTTATCTATGCTCGTTACAAGTTTTGAAACATATTTTTTAATAAAAAAGATTAGAAAATTAGTATTAAGTTTAGGAACCCCTAAAACACATGTTTTTGGCAAAATAAATTATGACAAGATTAAGAATTTTATCAGATGATGAATTTAATAAATTATATAAAAAACCTAATATCTTAGAAG